GAATAGAAAAGCAACATGGGGTTCCGGCTGTAAAGCGACTGAGCTTTTCTGGAGAAATATTAAACGCACACATCAGACCGATGAATGTATGTCAGCAGATGACGGATGTATGTCAGCAGATGACGGACGTATGTCAGCAGATGACGGATGTATGTCAGCAGATGACACGAATGTATGTCAGCAGATGACGGACGTATGTCAGCAGATGACGGACGTATGTCAGCAGATGACGGACGTATGTCAGCAGATGACGGATGTATGTCAGCAGATGACACGAATGTATGTCAGCAGATGACGGATGTATGTCAGCAGATGACGGATGTATGTCAGATGACGGATGTATGTCAGCAGATGACGGATGTATGTCAGCAGATGACAGATGTATGTCAGCGGATGACGGATGTATGTCAGATGACGGATGTATGTCAGCAGATGACACGAATGTATGTCAGCAGATGACGGATGTATGTCAGCAGATGACGGATGTATGTCAGCAGATGACACGAATGTATGTCAGCAGATGACGGACGTATGTCAGCAGATGACGGACGTATGTCAGCAGATGACGGATGTATGTCAGCAGATGACACGAATGTATGTCAGCAGATGACGGATGTATGTCAGCAGATGACGGATGTATGTCAGATGACGGATGTATGTCAGCAGATGACGGATGTATGTCAGCAGATGACGGATGTATGTCAGCGGATGACGGATGTATGTCAGCGGATGACGGATGTATGTCAGATGACGGATGTATGTCAGCAGATGACACGAATGTATGTCAGCAGATGACGGATGTATGTCAGCAGATGACGGATGTATGTCAGCAGATGACACGAATGTATGTCAGCAGATGACGGATGTATGTCAGCAGATGACGGATGTATGTCAGCAGATGACGGATGTATGTCAGCAGATGACACAAATGTCAGTAGATGACGGATGTATGTCAGCAGATGACGGATGTATGTCAGCAGATGACGGATGTATGTCAGATGACAAGAATGTATGTCAGCAGATGACGGATGTCAGCAGATGACACGAATGTATGTCAGCAGATGACGGATGTATGTCAGCAGATGACGGATGTATGTCAGCAGATGACACAAATGTCAGCAGATGACGGATGTATGTCAGCAGATGACGGATGTATGTCAGCAGATGACACGAATGTATGTCAGCAGATGACGGATGTATGTCAGCAGATGACGGATGTATGTCAGCAGATGACACGAATGTATGTCAGCAGATGACGGATGTATGTCAGCAGATGACGGATGTATGTCAGCGGATGACGGATGTATGTCAGCGGATGACGGATGTATGTCAGCGGATGACACGAATGTATGTCAGCAGATGACGGATGTATGTCAGCAGACGGACGTATGTCAGCAGATGACGGACGTATGTCAGCAGATGACGGATGTATGTCAGCAGATGACACGAATGTATGTCAGCAGATGACGGATGTATGTCAGCAGATGACGGATGTATGTCAGCAGATGACACGAATGTATGTCAGCAGATGACACGAATGTATGTCAGCAGATGACGGATGTATGTCAGCGGATGACGGATGTATGTCAGCGGATGATGGATGTATGTCAGCGGATGACACGAATGTATGTCAGCAGATGACACGAATGTATGTCAGCAGATGATGGATGTATGTCAGCAGACGGACGTATGTCAGCAGATGACGGATGTATGTCAGCAGATGACACGAATGTATGTCAGCAGATGACGGATGTATGTCAGCGGATGACGGATGTATGTCAGCGGGTGACGGATGTATGTCAGCGGATGACGGATGTATGTCAGCAGATGACACGAATGTATGTCAGCAGATGACGGATGTATGTCAGCAGATGACGGATGTATGTCAGCAGATGACACGGATGTATGTCAGCAGATGACGATGTATGTCAGCAGATGACACAAATGTATGTCAGCAGATGACACGAATGTATGTCAGCAGATGACGGATGTATGTCAGCAGATGACACGAATGTATGTCAGCAGATGACGGATGTATGTCAGCAGATGACACGAATGTATGTCAGCAGATGACGGATGTATGTCAGCGGATGACGGATGTATGTCAGCGGATGACGGATGTATGTCAGCGGATGACGGATGTATGTCAGCGGATGACGGATGTATGTCAGCAGATGACACGGATGTATGTCAGCAGATGACGGATGTATGTCAGCGGATGACGAATGTATGTCAGCAGATGATGGATGTATGTCAGCAGATGACGAATGTCTCTGAAGCGGTGTGGAATAAAAAGAAAAAAGCATGAAAAAGGGAGGCCCGCCAAATTGGAACATCTGCTTGGAAATCTGGAGAAAGAACAGTTTTGGTTGGAGTCAAGTGCAGTTAACAGGATTCAGAGTGAGCACCGCATGGGCCTCCGAGGTCAGAAACCAGAGGGAGGCCAGAGAAATGAGATGAGCTGCGAAGCGCCTCCGGGAAGGGACAGCTGGGACCAGATGAGACACACACCGTGGCCTGCTTTTATGTTTTGTGTCAGTTTTAAGGGAAACTGGTATTTTCCTAAAACAATACATATTTGATGGAAAAGTGCTGCCCATTTCAGTAGCAGAATCACTTTATTATATTGCTGGGAAAACTTGAGAATTCAAAGTTGGAAGACAGCAGGCAGAGGTTATACATTTTATATTAATATGGCACTGTGGGGTGCGATTTACGAGCTCTGATCTAATGTCATCTTTTACTGAAAACAGTTTCTCTTACTTACATGTATCTCAGTGATTTGACCCTGGTTTTATGTGAATATTGTTTTAGGGGATGTCATGTTCTGAATGCAATTTATTTTATCCAAAGAACTGCTTACAGATAGATGTGTAAAGACTAGGAGGTCTACAGTTTCAATAAGCAGTCTAGTAACATTGGAAGATAAGTTCTGAAAGACTGTAAGATGCCAAAGAATACGTTTATACAATTATATATTTGGACATTAATTGGTTTTGAAGTCAATATTCAGTTTTAAACTGTTTAAGATATATGTTTTTGCTTTTCTCTAAAGTATATTTCAGAGACTTAGACCAAGTACTACATTGAATGTGTGGCACGCAACATGTCTACTTAACAGAGCTAGAAATACTGTCAGTTTGCAAAGGTGAAATTACTTAGACTTTTTCTCTGGAAAACTGAAATGACTTCCTTTGGAAATTAAAGTCCTCATTGCTTTACAAACATCATTTCATTATACGGAAGATCTTTACTCACAAACCTTCATGTCATACAATGTCAGAAACAAGACAAGGAGACAAGGCACGGGGCTGTGGTCAACCCAAAAAAGACAGGATGTTATCCTCACCTCTAAGAATTTCCCACAGACATACTAACCCATCATACCCGTTCAGTGCACACAGAGTGACAAGATTTCAAGTATTGCAGCAATGAGAGAGCCCTATGACAATGAACACAAAAGAACAGACATTTTCAAATGATAAAAACTGGCCCAGTGTGGTGGCTCATGCCTGTAATCCCAACACGTTTGGAGACCAAGGTGGGCAGATCACCTGAGGTCAGGAGTTTGAGACCAGCCTGGTGACCAACATGATGAAACCGTGTTTGTACTAAAATTAAAAAAAAAAAAAATTAGCCAGGTGTGGTGGCAGGTGCCTGTAATTTCAGCCACTTGGGAGGTGGAGGCAGGAGAATAGCTTGAACCTGGGAGGTGGAGGTTGCAGTGAACCGAGATCATGCCATTGCACTCTAGCCTGGGTGACAAATGAGTCTCCGTATTAGAAAACAAAACAAAACAAAAACAAAAAAGAAAACCACTAAAAATTAACTGAAAATGAAGGTTAAAAATTTAAAAAGTGGAAAAAAGAAAAAAAAAAATAACTGAAAATTAGAAATGCATATGGTATGAAATGTCAAGCAGGAAAAATGAGCAGGAGGGACAACCACCAAAAATGAAAACTGCAAAAAGTAATTTTTATATCTATTCAACCCATAATTATCACAGACTATATTTGAAAAGTAGGTAGGTGTGCTTACCTACATATAGCTGTATGTAGGTTATATTTGAAAAGTAGGGAAGGGGTACTCACCTACATAGAACTGCACTTACATACAGTTACACGTATACCTACATTTACTGTAGGTTAAGGATTTTTTTTTAGACGGAGTCTTGCACTGTCACCCAGGCTGGCATGCAGTGGTGTGATCTCGGCTCACTACAATCTCCGCCTCCTGGGTTCAAGCAATTCTCCTGCCTCAGCCTCCAGAGTAGCTAGGACTATAGGGGTGTGCCACCATGCCCAGCTAATTTTTTTGTATTTTTAGTAGAGATGGGGTTTTGCCATGCTGGCAAGGATGGTCTTGATCTCCTGACCTCGTGATCTGTCTGACTTGGCCTCCCAAAGTGCTGGGATTACAGGCGTGAGCCACCACGCCCGGATACAACGGAACACTACCTTACTGACAGTCTTCTAAAGGGCAGTGGTGATAGCATGATTGATTTATTCCTGGAGCTTTCTCTTGGACCTCACATACTTGATTCTTCTTGAAACCAGTTAACAACTCTCATGCCTTATTGCTAGATCTAGAAACGTGGTTCTCACAATCCACACCTTGCACCAGAACCACCTGGAGAACTTTGTAAAAATGCAGCTGCTTGCTCACCACCCCCAGAACCTCTTTCTGCGATGGTCAGGGTAGGGTTTTGGACACTGATGTCTGTAAGATCCCCATCAAGTGATTCTAACATGCTGGCAGAGTTAAGAAACACGGGTTAACAAGGAGACACGTCAGAAACATCATATACCAGACACCTACTCTACCCTTATTTGATTTATTCTCAAATCCCTACTCTCACAGCTTTCTTCTTCATTTAGAATTTAGATAGAAACCATAACTGTTAAAATTGGCTGAATATATCTAAAATCACTGATTCATTTGCTTATTACACGTACATTCCACCATTCAGTTGATGACATCACAGAACCTAGAAGAGTACTCCAGACACAGGCTGCTAAATCCTCATCTGTTGACTGAGTCTTTAAAACATTATTCACTTTCATACTGACAATGACTCATGCTATAGGGTAAGCTCAAATTTACTTTTCTTCCTTTATACTGTTCTTTATCGTATTTTTTCTATTAAAATAATATTTAACAGATAATCCTTTTTATATACCTGTTGCTTCAAATAATAAAAATAATCTAACTTATGAGACTAATATCATCTTGTTACCCAACTGGATAAGAACAACATAAGAAAAGAAAATTACAAGCCATTTTTGCATAAGACTATAGATGTGAAAACGCTTAGTAAATATTATCTAACTTAATGAAGTGGATGGTTAAAAAAGCAGAATCAAGAAGGGTTCATCCCAAGGATTTAGTAATAGTTTAACATCAGAAAAATCCATGTATGTAGTTCATCAAGTTAATAGACTAGAGGAGAAAATGTTCATGCTACTCAGATGCTAGGAAAGCATGAGTCCAAGCACAGGGCCTCTGTCTCTGCCTCAATAATTCTCTAGATTAAGATAGAAGATTGTCTGGGTGAGATGGCTTACGCCTGTAAACCTAGCACTTTGGGAGGCACAGGGCAGGCGGATCACCTGAGGTCAGGAGTTCAAGACCAGGTCAACATGGCAAAACCCTCATCTCTACTAAAAATACAAACCGTAGCTGGGCATGGTGGCAGGCACCTGTATCCCCAGTTGCTTGGGCAGCTCAGGCAGGAGAATCATTTGAACCTGGGAGGCGAAGGCTGCACTGAGCCAAGATTGTGCCATTGCACTCTAGCCTGGGCAACAAGAGTGAAACTCCATCTTGAGAAAGAAAGAAGAGAGAAAGAGAGACAGAGAGGAAGGAAGGAAGGAAGGAAGGAAGGAAGGAAGGAAGGAAGGAAGGAAGGAAGGAAGGAAGGAAGGAGGGAGAGGGAGGGAAGGAAGGAGGGAGGAAGGGAGGGAGGGAGGGAGGGAGGGAGGGAGGGAGGAAAGGAAGGAAGGAAGGAAGGAAGGAAGGAGAGAGGGAGGGAAGGAAGGAAGGAAGGTAGGTTGAAGATGAACTGTTTCTTCTACAGAGCTTCTGCAGGATGAAACAAGGTGCTGATGCATGCTTTCTGTAATTTGACTCGATGAGTTTTTTTTTAATCCTCCATATAAATTTATAATACTATATTTCGTTCATTAGAAAGTACACATTTTAAGTGATTTTTTTCTTTTTAATAGTATATTTTTACAACAAATGATGAGTATAACAAAAGAGTACTCAATATCTTTCTCCAAACACATTCCCTTCTGTCTACAGAAGAACCTAATACAAGGTGATCTCCAGCTTTCTTCTGCTTCTATGATTCAAAAATCATCCCTGTTCTAAAACTCTTAACTATTTGGTTTGTTAGTTTTTGGTGCTTTGGAAAACCAATATCACTCATCTGTCTCTGTATTCCTGGTTCCTGCTACTCAGGAACATAAAACAAAAGCTCTCAAGTACCAAACTACTAGACTTTATATGAACTAGGACCCAAATACTAGACTTTACATAAACTAAGTTTATATAAATTCTGAAAGAGTTTCTCCCTAGAGGTCACACTGACTTCAGCGTCACGGCTAAGGCAAGCATTTGCTTAGATCAAAAGTTGACACTCTTTTTTTTTCTGTAAAGTATCAGAGAGTAAGTGTTTTGGCTTTGTGAAGCAGACATTTTCTATCAGAACTGCTCAACTCTGCCACTGCAAAGCAAAAGCAGACACAGACAATGCATATGAGCAGGGCTGCACTTCAGCACAACTTTACTTACAAAACAGGTGGTGGGCTCCATTTGGTGCATTTGCCGACACCTGCTTACATGCAGTTCCCCCACTGAGGAACAGGTGTGCCCTATTCTGAAAGCAGCACAAGCTAGTCTCTGTCTACTTATTTCAAGTCAACACTATATTTTTTGAATGGCACACATTTTCTTTCTTCTTTTTTATTGTACATTAGGTTCTGGGGTACATGTGCCGATCATGCAGGATTGTTGCATAGGTAGATATGTGGCAATGTGGTTTGCTGCTTCCATCCCTCCATCACCTATATCTGGCATTTCTCCCCATGTTATCCCTCCCCAACCTCCCTACCCCCCTTTGTCCCTCCCCTAGCCCCCCACAACAGATCCTAGTGTGTGATGCTCCCCTCCCTGTGTCCATGTTTCTCATTGTTCAACAACCGCCTATGAGTGAGAACATATGGTGTTTGATTTTCTGTTCTTGTGTCAGTTTGCTGAGGATGATGGTTTCCAGACTTATCCATGTCCCTACAAAGGACATAAACTCATCATTTTTTATGGCTGCATAGTATTCCATGGTGTATATATGCTAAAATCGTACATATTTTCAATCCAGCCATTCTACATTAGGGGTATGTGTATGTGTGTGTCTATATAGCTATATTAAATGTTTCAGTTTGCTTTTAAAATGTTTCAACACAGCTCACATAAGCAGAATATCAGTTCAAAGCAGTTCTGCCAAACTCAGTTTAAAAAATAACCACATTGGTGTGTTACTGATACTACTGTTTCTACATGTGGCATGATCGCTCCTATCAGGTTTAATGACAGGAATCCAGCGGTGACTTCAAGTAATGACCACTGCCAGTGAGCTCGAGTTTTCTGCCAAGGTGTGAAGTTGGAAAGCCGAAGGTACAACTTCATGGAGATCAAATCATTCACGACCTTAACAGCCAAAGACGTATTAAGTGGCTACCAGGTAAGCAACATTTGTTGTAGCACCCAATTATCGCGTTGGTGCAAAGTCACTCGGTAAACAGCAAGTATCAAATGGCGGCGGATCCAAAACTTGTGAATTGGCTGTTTAAAAAATATATTTGCCATAATTCCTTCTCATACGTAAGTTTCCCAAAGGAGTGCATAAAGCAGGTACTAATAATGGAACAAAAATAATGAAGCGCTTTTGAGGGTAGTTGATTCCTTTTGAAAATTGATCACAAGTAAAGGATGTTAGGCACAGCTTCCTTTTGCTTCCATGATTTGCTAAGAATCTTTAAGGTTAACCTGTTCAGCTACTATAATCACAGGAGACATGATATGTGAAGCAAAAACTGCTATAGCTATTTCTGCTTGCATATATACTGACAATTAGGTTATAGAATATAAATAGGGTTCCTCTGAATATTCCATGTTGGTTCTACATTTACGGCCCGACAATCAGATAGTATGGATTTCAAAATCACTGTTAAGAACTCTAAAAATTTAGATGTCAGTAACACGTCATCACCTTGCATGAAAACCAGAGCCGCCACTAGGCTGGAAGAAGCTCTGATAGGCTATAATCAGCCCTTATCATCAAGTTGGTAAAGGCTGGTGTGACCCAAAGACTTCTGTTCTCTGAATACCCCCACTAGCCTTCATCTATTCCCTTTATAAATGCTAACAGACCTGTGAATTTTCTGTTCCAGAGTGAGCCTGCAACAGCATTCTCTTGGGTGAAATGCTCTTCTTAATGGCGATGAGAATCCCACCTCCTTATTCTAACCCATTCCCCCCACAGAAGAGGAGGAACCCTGCATTTTTCTTGGGGATCAAGACAGAGGGCTGGAGGCATGGAGGTAGCTCTGCATGGCCCTTCAATGCTTAGTATGCTCAGGGTGCCTTTCAATTAACTGGCATAGCTATACTTTTTTTTTTTTTTTGATGGAAGCTCACTCTGTTGCCCAGCTGGAGTGGTGCAGTGGCGTGATCTCAGCTCACTGCAACCTTCACTTCCTGGGTTCAAGCAATTCTCCTATCTCAGCCTCCCAAGTAGCTGGGATTACAGGTGCCCACCACCACACCCAGCTAATTTTTGTATTTTTAAAATTTTTTATTTATTTTGAGATGGAGTTTCACTCTTATCGCCCAGGCTGGAGTGCAATGGCATGAACTCGGCACACTGCAACCTCCGCCTCCTGGTTCAAGCAATTCTCCTGCCTCAGCCTCCTGAGTAGCTGGGATTACAGACACCTGCCACCATACCCAGCTAATTTTTGTATTTTTATTAGAGACTGATTTTGCCATGTTGGGCAGGTTGGTCTCAAACTCCTTACCTCAAGGGATCCACATGCCTCTGCCTCCCGAAGTGCTGGGATTACAGGCATAAGCCACAGCACCCAGACAAAGCTATACTTTTTGATTAGACTAAGTAAGCCTTCTGTACAAAGTTTTTTATGTGAAACTTTACAATGTTTTCACACATATGCCCCAAATCCTGGATTATATGAGGCAAAAATAAATAGGCCATGTGTACTAATTGTGTACCTCTCTCTTCTCACATTTTGGTTCCTTAAAAATGAGAAAGCACATTTCTTGTGTACCTTGTGACAAGAGTTAACAAAAACAATCCTGCTTCTAACCTGCTGGTGACATTTTCAAAGGTCCCATGGTTATGCTTATTCAATTGGTCTGAGTCTTCCTGCATGTCTAATGGTGTTAGAAGGCCTGAAACTATGCCTAAAGCTATGGTATTATCGCAGAGAGAAAAATAAATGCATATCAATAAAAATACTAATATTTATCTATAAAGCAACAATAATGGCAATAATTCTACAGTGTAATTCCGCTGAGAAAAACTGAATGGAACGACTAATCTTAAAATATTTTACAGTAGAGCGCAGGACTTAGTATAATTGCCTGCTATTCTTGTGATAACTCTTAAAGCTAGTTTTGTGAATGTTTTTTGTTTTTTTAGGACACTTCGAAATTATGCTGTTGAGGCTGGTTGTGGTGGCTCATGCCTGTAATACCAGCACTTTGGGAGGCCGAGGCGGGTGGATCACGAGACCATCTGGCCAACATGGTGAAATCCTGTCTCTACGAAAAAATACAAAAATTAGCTGGGCGTGGTGGCACGCGCCTGCAATCCCAGCTGCTCAGGAGGCAGGGGAATTGCTTGAACCCAGGAGGCAGAGGTTGCAGTGAGCCGAGATAGCGCCACTGCACTCCAGCCTGGCGTCTGGCGACAAAACGAGACTCTATAAAAAAAAAAAAAATTATGCTGTCTTCAAGGTCACAAATTAAAGTCTTATCTGTTACTGGATAATGCTAAGTTCACAGTTTTAAAATATTTTATCATTAAGAAAATATTAACTGCAAAATTTTAAAAAGTACTAAGAGAAAGTAAGCAAAAAGACAGATACTGTGATAAAAATAAAGACCTTCTTTCCCTGTAAGTCTTGTTGAGTTTATTGATTCGTTCATTTAACTAATACTTGTTGAGTACCTTTTTTGTGATGGTCCTTCTCTGAAGCACTTCCATTCGACAGACCCTTTCTTTGGTTAAGTGTGTATAAGGTTCAACAAGAGAAATCCATGGATGCCTGCAATTGTAGAGACTAGGACACTTGGTAATAACGGCTTGAAAAGGAAATTAATATCCCACTTAACTCTTCTTTTTCAACATCAGATTTTAGAATATTTGCCATCTGATACTAACTTTTTCTTAAACAACTCACCAGACATCTTTGCCTCATTATAGCCGTAAAACAGAGCTCCCTCTTTCTGTCAGTAACACCGTCATCTTCCTATTTTAAAATCTTGGAGTCTGTTTTTTTTCCTCATAAATTTGTTTAAGTTCCTTGTGGTTTCTGGATATTAGACTTCTGTCAGATGAGTAGATTGCAAAAATGTTTTCCCAGTCTATAGGTTGCCTGTTCACACTGATGATAGTTTCTTGTGCTTTGCAGAAGCTCTTTAGTTCAACCCCATCAAAAGACAGCAAAGGATATGAACAGACGCTTCTCAAAAGAAGACGTTTATGGGGCCAACGAATGTATGAAAAAGGCTCATCATCACTGGTCATTAGAGAAATGCAAATCAAAACCACAGTGAGATAGCATCTCACGCCACTCAGAATGGTACTTATTAAAAAGTCAGGAAACAACAGATGCTGAAGAGGATGCAGAGATCTAGGAACACTTTTACACTGATGGTGGAAGTATAAATTAGTTCAACCATTGTGGAAGACAGTGTGGCAATTCCTCAAGGATCTAGAACCAATGATACCATTTGACCCAGCAATTCCATTACTGGATATATACCCAAAGGATTATAAATCACTCTACTATAAAGACACATGCACATGTATGTATATTTACAACAGCAAAAAACCAGCCCAAATGCCCATAAATGAGAGACTGGATAAAGAAAATGTGGTATATATATACCATGGAATACTATGCAGCCATAAAAAATGAGTTGATGTCCTTTGCAGGGATATGGATGAAGCTAGAAACCATCATCCTCAGTAAACTAACACAGGAACAGAAAACCAAATACCACATGTTCTCACTCATAAGTGGGAGGTGAACAGTGAGAACACATAGACACAGGGAGGAGCACATCACACGCTGGGGACTGTTGGGGGATGGCGGACAAGTGGAGGGAGAGCATTAGGACAAATACATAATGTATGCGGGGCTTAAAACCTAGATGATGGGTTGATGGGTGCAGCAAAGCACCATGTCAAATGCATACCTATGAAACAAACCTGCACATTCTGCACATGTATTCCAGAACTTAAAAGTATTTTTTTTTAGAGTATAAACATTCAAAAAAAAAGCCCTGGAGTCATCAGTTGCACCCCTTTTTCTCCTCTCCCATATGCAGACAATCCCTAAATCCTACCCACTGTCCCTGGAAATGTTTCACAATCTGTTTTTAACATTCAGCTAAGATATAAATGTTAGACATCTTTCAAAAACCTGACATTAATTGTAAAGTATTCTAAGAACTTCCACTTGAGCTGATATTGAAGCTGGGTGACTAGATTTGTTTCCTGTCACTTCCCCAATTAATGGTCACAAACTTGCTGGCTAAATACAACAGAAATGTATCTTCTACCAAGGGGAGGTGGGAAGTCTAAATCTGACAAGACTGTGCTTCCTCTGAAGAGTCTATGGGACAATATATTCTTCACCTCTTTTGGTTTCTGGTGGCTACCCTGGCATTCCTGGAGTTGAGATCACAGCACTCCAATCTTTGCCTCTGTCTTCACATCTATCTTCTCTTATAAGGACATTTGTCACTGTATTGAGGGCCTGCCCAGGTAATCCAGGATGACTGACTCAAGTCTAAAGCCTTAATGTATCTGCAAAATCACTTTTTCCAAATATGATCACATTCACAGATTCCAAGGATCCAGAACGACGATCTTGGAAGCCACTATTCAACCCACTGCCGTGAATTAGTACTTTTTTCCTGAAATGAACACACAAGACTCTTGCCTTTTTGAGTCAGGCTTGTCAGGGATTGCTCCAAGAGGAAATTCCCTAAAATGTTCTACCCTTGGCAACTCTTAGACGGAGCAAAGAGAGTAAGGCTGGTGGCGAGAGCGGTTTCCCTTTCTATGCCACTGTATTTACCTCTGCATTGGCTGAGCTTAACATAATGGAATGTCGAATATGGAAATTAATGAATAATAAGGAATGAAGGAGTAATTAATGAATGGACTAAAGACCAAAGGGATCTCAAGAGTATACATTCCCATGAGCGCCTCTACTGCGACCTGAGCCTGAGGCAACGGGGTTAAGAAAAGATTCCTTTTGGTCTCCTGAGCCCTTGGAAGAGAAACCAGTGAACCACCATGGCTGTGAGGTCAGGCTACAAATGGGAGGCTTGTCCCTCAGAGTTGAAGGCGGGGGCCAGCTTCCCTTCCATTCAGAGGTGAGGAGGAGTCCAAGTCACATAAAAGCAACCAAGACCCATCTGTCTCTGAAATCATCAGAAGTAAGAGCTGTTTCCTGTTTGGATTTGTTATTTAAGAGAAAGACTGTGATGTCAGGGGTGCAAGGCCACATGACTGTATAATAGGAGTCCTAAGATAGTAACACCTGTCAGGCAATCAGATTTTCTCAACGTCTTAAAATTATTATCCAGGATGAGCTGATTTTGACCTAAACATGAAGACCAACAAGAGTCAAGCTGCTTTTGTATTTCTATAATCAACAGAATATCTCAGAGTAAGCAGAACTTCAATAGCAACAGAAGCTTGAGATTACAAGGTCAAAACTGTTTCTTGCAATTATTCTGCTTTGGGATGTTCTTCTCTACAATGCATTTATCCCTAAAGAACATTCAATTTTTGAGACAGAAAAATAACATGAAAGATTATTCCACGGATAGAGAAAATGCCGATTTGACACAGATCTCACCTTTTCTGTTTATCACTCCCTTGACTTTGTGAAAAAGGAAAACCATGTTCCTTGGGTTTCTAAAAAAGGGGAAGATGTTCTGTGTTGTTGTGTTGAAGTTTTTAAATTATCCGTCTGCTCAGGAATAACAAACATGAAAAGAATTAATTTAATGCCAAAAAAATCTGAGAAATAATTCATGTTTAACATGCATGCCCTCTTATTCCTGTGCGTGGATTGGATAACAGTGCCCGACTCTTAAGAAAAATGAGCTTTGAATGATAATTGCTTATGTGGTTTTTCAAAAGTGAGTGACATTTCCTGGAAGTGATGGTGAAGGTAATCTCTGTATGACAATTAGCCTGGTCATCGGCACCGTACACCTGGGGGCTCAAGAATGAAAATTTCCATGCTTCCTGCCTCTACTCCCGGTGGAAACCGCAGGGTGGGAGAGCAGGCTTCAGATCCAAAAGAAGACTTTCAATACTTCAAGGCAGGCGTAGCTCATAGCTATCATGGGCTTGCTTCCAGATCACCATAATAAAGCAAATTCTGCAATAAAGTGAGTCGCATGAACGTTTTAGTTTCCCAGTGCATATAAAAGTTATGATTATACCACGCCATAGTCTGTTATGTGTCCAACAGCATTGTGTCTCAAAAAAGTACATACCTTAATTTTTAAGTATTTTATTGCTAAAAATGCTAATGATCATCTGGGCCTTCAGCAAGTTTTAATGTTTCCCTGGTGAAGCATCTTGTCTCAATGCTGATATGGCTGCTGACTGACCAGGGTGGGGGCTGCTGAAGACTGGGGTGACCGTAGCGGTTTCATAAAATGACACAAAGATAAAGTTGGCCGCATCAATTGACTGTTTCTTTCATGAAAGATTTCTCTGTAGCACATATGCTGTTTGATTGTATTTTACCCACGGAACGTTTTCCAAAATCGGAGTCAATCCACTCAAATCCTACTGCTGTCCCATTAACTGAATTTATGTCATATTCTAAATACTTTGTTGTCATTTCAACGATGTTCACACCGTTTTCACCAGGAGTAGATTCTATCTCAGGAAGCCAGTTTCTTTGTTCTTCTGTAAGATGCAACTCCTCACCTGTTCAAGTTTTTTCATGCGATTACAGCAATTCAGTTGCATCTTCAGGCGCCACTTCTCATGCTAATTATCTTGCTATTTCCACCACATCTGCAGTTATTTCCTCCACTAAAGGCTTGAAGCCCTGAAAGTCATCCATAGGAGTTGGAACCAACTTTTTCAAAGCTCCTGTTAATGTTGATATTTTGACCTTCACCCAGCATATTTCGTCCAGATCCATGAGAGGAATCCCTTTGTAAACGTGTTTTTAAATAGCAATTTTTGAAAGTCAGTATTTCTTCTTGATCTGTGGGCTGCAGAATGAATGCTATGTCAGCATGAATGAGAGGAATGAAAGCAACATTCATCTCCGTGTACATCTCCATCAGAGTTCTTGGGTGACCAGGTACATTGTTAGTGAGTGGTTACTGCCGTAATTGCTTGAAAGGAATCCTTCTTTCTGAGCAACAGGTTTCAAATATGGGCTTAAAACCTTCAGCAAACCATGCTGTAAACAGATCCAGGCTTTGATGTTCAATTTACAGAGCACAGGCAGAGTGACCTTGGCCTAATTCTTAAGGATCCTGGGATTCTAATGGTAAATGAGCACTGGCTACCATTTAAAGTCACCAACTTCATTAGCCCCTGACAAGGCGGTCAGGCTGTCCTTAGAAACTTTGAAGCCAGGAAGTGATTTCTTTCTCTCTAGCTATGAAAGTCCTAGATGGCATCTTTTTCCAACAGAAGGCTGTTTCTTCAGCACTGAAAATTGAACATAGCCAGATACATCAAACATTCAAGCTAGATCTTCTGGACGACTTGCTGCTTCACCTTGAACTTGTATGCAACGGAGATGGCTTCTTTCCTTAAACCTCATGACCCAGCCTCTGCTGTCTTCAGACTTTTCTCATGCAGCTTCCTCACCTCTCTCAGCCTTC